ATATATATATATATATATATATATATATAAATTGACAAGTACGTGTTTTGAAGTGACTTCTTTGAAGTGACTTCTCCCAACAACTTCTTTAGTCATGCTGTACAATGAAAAAATGAATTCAATGTACAGAAGTTAATATACTGCGATTACATAAGTACTTCGGGTAAGACAGAAAATATTAAAGGAAAGTAAAAATTGTGAGTGGAAGAATTGCAGAAAGGGTAAATTTAAACCTTACAGGTCCAAGGGATTGCAGTTACAAACGTAATCGCTATCCGTCATACCACTGGCTACTGATAAGCCGGTTTTATGAGGTGCCATGAGATTTGAGGCGAAACTTTAGCAGTGAACAGTTAGAAAATTAGCAAGAAGTGCGTAGGGAAGTCTGAAACTACCTCATGTCAACCAAGGGGGTCGAACGTCTAATATACAAAGAAAAAAAAAAAATGAAGATGAGCTGAACGTAAACGAAAGTATGTTCAGAGGAAGCACGCTTAACGGCAACAGTTTTCAACTATTCTAAGTAATGACGTTGGGACAATGATAGTATAATCGAACCCCGGAAAATTTGCAACGGCAGCAGTGCTTCAGAATTTCACGACTAATATACTAAAATTTGATTTATTTAATAATACCAGGAGTGCAAAACCTTCATAATATTTCTCTAAAATAGCAGTATGGTAAATACTTCAGTAAACATTTTACTGCAAACTCCACCACTGCTACCACCTAAATTAGTTGAATCTCAACTTCTGAAAAATCTGAAGTTTCACTTCTAGGCCCTAGAATAGGAACAAAGTCTAATATTCTAGGGTAACATACCGCTCGCTAACGACACAACCGTAACAGCAAAAAAGAGTTGAATCGAAGGCTTCATCCCTTTGGAACACTTCTCCTAGGACCGCAAAGAACCAACAAACTTGTACGTTCGACTCACTCAGTTCGGTTCCCGCAGTTCCCCTATAAAGCATTATCGTTTTGGCAGCTTACCAAGAAAACTCAGTCGCAGAGTGTACATACGACGCCTCAGTGTGCAACCAGTAATAAGCATAAGCACATGCAGTTGAACAATTGATAAAATGCAATGGTTCCGACATCGGTACATTGTTGTACACTGCCGGACCAGAACGCCTACGGCAATCAAGCCTTTATCACAATTTACTGATCACAGAAAAAGAACTGAATGGTTGCTGAAAACGCCAACTGTCAAAAACAGAAAAGTATCACTTTTAAATAAAAACAGAACAGTAACTAGCGCAACAACCTCCTCAAAAATAAGACTTTCTTATATACCTATTCCAACCAAGCAATGCAACCAGTTTAATAAATAGTGTGTAACGGCGGCAAAAGGAACTAAATGACTCAACAGAGCCATATAAAACCCCGTTCAAGGATCTTCAGGCCTATGTCCCTGAACGCTTCTGATGCACATAACATTAAGACACAACAACATTAGAATTAATTGGAACACCCCATACAACAACAAACGAGACCAGCAAAACCTTCTATTTTCTCGACAAAACGACAAATTTATTTGCCCATTTGTTAAACAGTATTCACAACGTTCAATTCAGATATTCAGCGCCACAGGAAGGCAAGAGATTTCTTTTTCATCAATTCAACATATACATCAGGCAACAAAGAAAATGGAGTCGCTTTACTTTGTGATGATTCAACAGCTCCTTATTAACCATATCATTTGCTTGAAAAACGAAGAAAGTCACTTTACATTCATATCAACCCTAAACTGGGAAATTCAATTGTTATAAACAGCTGCTAAAATCATCTAAAATGTTATACCCTGCAGCAAAAAAGTAACCAATGTTGTGATCCAAAAACCAGATTTACTCTGACAGAATCTGAAAGCCGATTATACAGGGTTCAGAAAGAACAACATACTCGTTCGACCTAGAGCAAATCAACTTATATTTCGCAATTTTCCTATGCCTTCCTCAACAAAGTCTAAAATCTCATCCTCTGGAACAAACTCTGAATCACGAATCATCCTGCAAACTGCACAGATTTCATTATGTTTATCGCCAGCTACCCAAACTCGTCCATTTACCCCGCAAGCGATTTCAAACTTGAGGTGGCGCCCGATAAGTGGCAAAAGTCTTGAAGAAGGCGAAAGAATTCTGCGAACCAAATTTAGACTAGTTTTGAAGACAAAACCATTGGGCGGCAAAACACCCATACCCTTGGCTCGTCCTTCTGAATCCACACAGCTCAACTAAAAGCTTTAGTAGATATAAAAGCCTGCACAGTATCGTGATAGGAGGATAAAAAAATCGTTGGCAATTGTCTACTTTACTCTACTGACAGAAATGCTTTATATGAACAGCAAACAACAAACATTAACAAACACACTAACTTCAGGTTCTGCATGTTTCGACGCAGAAATCACAGTAGCATAAATTAAATCGCCGGTTTTTAGGGATGGACGATTCCGTCTCGTGGCACCTAAACGGCATCTCTTGTAAAAGTTACCAAAATAAATCTGGAGCAAGATTAGCGCATAACAGCAGTTTTAATGAGCTTGGAAAATGGTGGTTTCGTAAACTATTGAAAACAAAAGCTTCTTCACCAACAAGTAAAAATAGAAAGATATTCATTCTTGAAGTAAAAAAAACCTTCAAAAGAAAGGAAATTTACGAATGCATTATCAGCGCATCCTATGTCAATTTTGAAGTTATCCCCACTGACATTTGGGCATACAATTCCAATGATTCTATCACCTTTTTGAGGAATGTACCTTAAAATATAAATATTCTTAATGAGTAGTAGCATTAAAAAAACCAAAAAAATCCTTCAATAAAAAGGAGCAAAACGGGAACTGACCTTCGTGCATGAATGTCCAGCCAATGTTTTCCTTCTCTAGCATTTCTAAGCCCTGGGGCTATAGCCACTAACTCGTCATCTTTACCGATTCGCTTTACTATACCACGTCCAACAACCTTTAATGCTATTAACTAAAGGTAAAAAACATTCCTCAAAAAGTTGACCGCAATCAGTTTTTACAGCATATTACCCGACAGTACTTTGCAAAACGATATTGTAAAAACTTTAATGCTAACCACAGTAGTCCCAGTTTGGCAGCTTGTTTCAGGTAAAATATCGCCAGGCAAAAGAACGTCTACCATAGTAAAAGCCAGAAGTATGCCCAATGTTGTTAAAGCTTCTAGAACAATAAAAGGAAACTACTGTTAAGTGTTTCTGTTAAGCAAAACAAAAACTGGCAACGCAAGCGGGCATTACATATGTCTACCACGAAAGACTAATTTACGCTATTCAAGGAGGAAATGGTTGGGGCGGATCAAAAAAGATGAACTTGTTTTATCAGGAGAAGGTGGATTCTGTAACTGGTGCTTTTTACTTCTACAAAAAGCAAAACATAAAACAAAAATATTTCAGAAGTTAAGGATGTGTTCTGAAACTTGTCATAGTACGTAGTTTTTTCAGATACTGCGGCATAAAAGACTAACAGAGGGCTTTTAAACAAGTCCCACGAAGTCATATGATTCGTGGGTGCATACTCCAAATCCTTAAGAAACATCTTTAGTTAATTCACAGAAATACATACGAATTAAGGAACATATCTTTCTCCAAGAACTAAATGAATCAAACTTGTAAGACCGTTCTACACGAGAAAACGAAGAATGCGTTGTCAAAAAAGTACACCACATAACTGCTTCAAAAGCCAACATATTGACCTCCCGTTTTTAGAATAAGTGTTAATGAAATTTGAATGAAAAAAGCATAGATAAAAGAGATAAAAGAGATAGCATAGATAAAAAGCATAGATTTTTTTTTCAAAAATTTTTGTAGCTGGTGGGTGTTCATAATACCTCATTAGGTGCTTTTTTTTAAGTTCCTCCTTCAGATTTTTTGAAATTCTTTTACTGGATGCTTTTGAGAAATAAGTTTTTCTTGAAAACAATAACAAAAGAATTTTTTTTCTTCAAAGTTTTAAAGCGCAATGTCCATGCGCTTATTAGATATGAAGGTTCTGATTGGTTTTGGTGCTATTACCGTCAAGACGATAATGGAAGCAGCAGCAAATGAATTCATTAATGAAAGAAGACACTGAAGATACACAGTCCACCTCTGATAGCCGTTAAAACTCTGATGTTTATTTAAACCAGAAATGCAACTAAAAAAACAAAGAGATAATTCGTAGTTACTTCTACTGAAACACATTTTCCACTCACTATGAATCATATTTACTCAACTGCAGTAAAAGTTTGGTAAAACCAGTGATGCGCTTTTCCCAAGCACATTTTTATATAAAACGCCTCCAGGTTCTACTTCCAATCGGTCCTGCAAATTCCAGTAAGTTACTAAGACTCCACCTCACTAAGAAACGGAAAATAAATCGGTAAGGCTTGTAAATTAATGAGTATGTTAACTTAGTTACTGCATAATGATAGCAGATTTAAGGTCTCTGTTACTCTTGGACAGTAGCCAGTCGTCAAATGCCAAGCAATTCATCATCGTACACCAATGGCGGTGTCATTGGCTATTTCCATTTTTAAAAAGGCTCGTATCCCTCAGTAACGTGGATATATATATATATATATATATATATATATATATATATAGTTTATATATATATATATATATATATATATATATATATATATTATATATATATATATATATATATATATATATATATATATAGGTGCTGTGCTTAAGAGTGCGTATTTTTGTTTGTGGTCGTCCCCAAAATCCTTACAACTTTTTGGTTTATCAAACAGCTTTTGGGCTTGACGAACTCTTCAAATATTGCGGATTGCATACACCAGAAGGGGAAATGTGCTATGACAGTGTGCGGAATCCCAATTGCAAAATTCCTGGTCACTAATTATTTATAATCTGTCCACAAAGCTACCCCATGCGTATGAAATACTGTGGATATGAATGCAGCAACTTTGCTGTAAATCAAAACACATGTAACCTTGTTTTTCCAAAGTGCGCCATGAACTTGCTGGCGAGAAGCAGCAGCACCCGAATTCACAAAACATGTTAAACTTGATTCAGTTGTATCGACTCGTGAATGACAAGTGACATATTTTTATCGTTTATCTGAACTTCGAAAAATAGCGGAAGATGAAGTGGAAAAGCGTCATCGATAACAAGGGAATAATTGTCCGCAAGTTTGTGAACAACTTTTAATTCTATAATATTTTTATTTGCTGGTTTTTAACGTAGTATATTTACATAAATAATCAGTTTGACAATGAAATCGTTGTAGGATTGAGGCAGAAAAAGACTGGAGGAAAGTAAAGCTTAAATTAAGACGAAGTTCGACTATTTTAGTGTACGTTCTTTGTTCTCGTAGAACCATTTCATCATTTCATAGGTGGCAACGGCAAAGAAGACGAAGATTGTTAAAAAAATGATTGTGATCAGGAACACAAATTTAGCATCGTCTGTCGGTATGAAATAACTGATTTCGTTGGATACTGCCTGCAAATTAGTGTTTCAGTTAGTTAACTGCATATGGCAATAGCAAGAATGTTTTATGCTATAAAACTGTCAGTTTAATATTCTTTAGAATACCGTTTAGTAAGGAAAAGCAGATGATGATCACAGGAATTAAATTACGTAAATAGTTTACTAGCTCATTCAATCATCAGATGATTAATGCTTATGAAACAGCAAAAAACGAAAGCTGGCGTAGACTGAATTAAAGTTGGTGAGCTCAAGGTTAAAAACAGAATGCGTATTCAAGAAAAAGATTCTTGAAGAAATTCCAGATGATCAAATGTTAACCTTTGTCACTGGAGGGCTTGTTGTTGTTTGGTTCTCCGTTAAATGCATATGTCTCTGAATTAATCAAGCTGAAAAAAAATTTTTAAACTCGATTTTTGTAATTATCCAACATCTTAAAATCAACTTTATTTTTAAATTATGACTTTCAGCATTTTTCACATATTATCTGCAGTATCTACACTTATTTAGAATTAAAATTGAGCATTTTTGATCTGTGTCATGCAAAGAAGGATGTAATCTTACGGAAAGATTTTTCAACTTTCAGAACCCTTATTTGTTTTAGAATTTACCTGATCTTATTTTGACTTGAAGAAGTCAGTAGAAAAGAGAAAGAAACTCTAACGTTTTCATAAATGAACTGAAAATTTTAGATGAAAAAACCAATTTGGATTTTGAAATTATATAAACAAAAGGAGATTTTTTGACCAGTTTATTATTGATGCTTTAACTACCTCTTTTGTTTCATGGTTTTAGTTTTTACTTATAAGCACGTAAAGATAATAATTTATAAGTGAAAATGTAATTACAGAAAAAAAATTACAGTCTTTTTTTTCTTTTGTCATTATTTGCAGTTTTCTGTATCGAACATAAAAATAACAGTATTAACGCTGCTTTAGCATTATTTGCATATAACCGTACTGTTTAGTAGATAACTTGGCAGAAGATATATCTAACCATATCAGTTTTATCTCAGAAATTTATATAAAAAATTTTCTTGTTTTTAGCAATGAAAATTGGTGGAAATTTTGATGTTAAGAAATTAAATCATTTAAAATTTATTACATTCTGAAGTACAGAATCATCTCGGTATAACTTGAAAAGTAACGGAATTTTTGCTACTAGACACCATCGCATCAAATTGTAAAAAACAGTTATTAATACTATGCGTAAAATAAATGAATGCAGAATGGACGTCGGGAAGGCTTAATGAGTTTTTGTTAATAGGTGGAAAAGCTTGAACTAGAAACGTACATATGTGGTTTAATAAATATAACTGTACTTTAAAATTTAAGAATCAATATAAAATATGGTTGTTGAGAAAAAGACGATAGAAGTGATATGCCTTGAAACGATGGTCTTCGACTGCTTTCTAAATTGATTTCATCTGTATAAATTTACGGCTCATTTGAATACATTTTAAATTGATATCCTTTAGTTGCTGTGTTCGTAGTTGTTCCAATATTTTAACATTCCTATGTATATACACCATCACTACTAAACAGCAGTCTGCTTTAAAACCTGAAACAATGATTATTCAAGAAAGTATTGTATTCATCTTCTTTTATTTTTATTTTATTTATTTATTTATTTTTTTTGTTTCTGTGAGATTTTAAGACGACTCCACAAAGCAACTTTCTTTTACTCTTAAAGCTTTAGTTATTACCATTTTAGCGCTGCTGAAGACAAGAGTATTTGGTGCTGCAAAAAAAAAAAAGAAAAAAAAATGCAAGCCATTATGGAGGTTGTTTTTTTCTAAGAATCACTTGGCAATATCTTTACAGCGAAATTTTAAGATGGTTTTAGGTGCTTCTAAAAATTGTATTTCTATTTTTCCATGTTTTTTACTTCACTTTTTTTGTTCTGGTTTGTGGTTTGATCGGATGGGTGTGTATATGTGCTCTAAATTTCTAATCCGGACAAAAACTTTTACCATGGAGAAACAACAATAATTTTAAAATTCCATTAAGTCTCTTTGTGCTGTCTGTTGGCAAAATAAGAAAGCGACAACGAGAGGGGAGGGGGGAGGGGGAACGGCGGAAGAGAAAGTGGAATCAAAGAGTCTCCAAATAAAGAATCCTGTTTTCACCAAGCGTTATTTTTTGTTCTCCATGTATTCACAGTTTCAACTAACCGAAACTGATCGTAATCTCTGGAAGCCGCCATGATCATGAAAGAAAATTTGAAGTTGAAATAAGAAGAAAGAGTAGGCTCATATGACCAAATACTCCCCAATTTTTTTCTTGTTTACCGGTTAGAAAAAAAGCATTTTATAATGTCTTTTAATCCAAAACATGTAACTGCACGCGAATAAATGAAATTTAAATAATCTAACAATGTAACAGATATAATTGGATTAACAATTTCATGGTATATAAGAGTGAGTCGATATTTTTCAGTGACCGGTGGATAAAAAAAATTTATTTTTTATTTTTGATTGTCAACTGTTTTGCTACTTGTTTGTTGGCTGTTAGTAAATTGAAAAACTGAAAAACTTAAAGTTTTGGCTCAGTTAACGGTCAAAATATTAATTTATATTTTTTATGATGTCTTTAAAGCTGCTGGTCCATTGCTTGTAAAAAAAAGATTGTTCTTTTGGCTTGCAGTACAAAATTCTTTCATAGTCGCTTTGCAAAAAAGATTGAAAATTAATTAGAAATCTGTTAGTCACTAGTTTTTTTGTTTTGTTTCGCAGAAAAAAAAAAAAGAACGAAAGTAGAAAAGAAGGTACTTAAATGTGTTTTGAATGTTGGTATTGTTACTACTAATAAATCCGTTAGGGTTAAACTTCAATTTCTGCCAAATTTTCGTCATATTTTTTTTGTTTGATATAAAACTTGCACGAAGAAAATGTTCAAAAAAATCTTCACGGTAATTATTACTTGGTTGGTTTGGTTGATAGGAGACAGATCTGCGTTATCAAAAAAAAAAAAAAAAAAAA